CAGGCGTGCGGCAGGAGCTGCCCGAGCGAGCCGCGGCTGCCTCCGGTTCGCCGCCAGTGCGGCAGAGGGTGGCGGCCACGTCATGCTGGGGACACGGTGCGCTCGGCTGCCAGCAGCGACTGCCGGCAGCACCGACCGCCGCCGGTACCGACCTCTGCCGGCACCGACAGCCGCCGGTACCGACCGCTGCCAGCACCGACTGCTGCCAGCACCGACCGCCGGCAGCACCGACTGTCGGCGCCGGAGCGGGGCCGGGAGCGCGGGAGCCCCGCAGCCCCCGGGACCCCCCGGCCGCCAGCGCAGGTGAGCTCCGGGATGGGGCCCGGGCGGGCCGGGGGCTCGGGGTGCGCGGCCGGGGCGCTGCGGGGCCGCCTGCGGCGAACGCCGGCTGCGCTCGGGCTCCTGCAGCGAGCAGCGCTGCCGCCGCTGCTCGGGAAAAGCGCTCCTGCCTCGGGGGGAGCGGGGCCGGCAGAGCCGCTGGCCGCCGGGGAGCACGGACTGTCCTCTGCCGGTACCGACCTCTGCCGGCACCGACCGCCGCGGCCGCGCCTTCCCCGCGGCATCTCCGGTGCGTGCGGAGCGGGGCCGGGGCACCGGGCCGGCAGCGGGACCGTGCCCGGGGCGGTGGATGGATGGATGGATGGATGGATGGATGGATGGATGGATGGATGGCAGGCAGCAGGCTGGCTGTTTTGGCCGCTAACCCCTCATCACCTGCCGGCCCACCCCTCCGGGTGCTGCTGGTGTCTGCCTGGCCTTCAGGTGGCTTTGGCACATGGCGCGTTGTCGCCACAATTGTCCCTCCCGGGCTTGGGGAGTGGCAGCACCTGGTCTGTCATCCAGACCTTCCCTGGCGTAGGGCTTGTGCTGCCTGGCTCAGCTGCTCACAGCCGTGTGTGCTTCTGCTGTGGCTTAGCTTTGGATCATGTTTTTGGCAGGCCATGAGAGTCTTTTAAGAGCTCCCAGAAGAGAGTCTGGAGCATGGCACGCTTTATGTGCCCGAGATGGGAACCTGAATGTTGAATGTCATGACAGAAGTCATTAGAAATGCGTGGCTTGTGTTTTGTTTCCATCCACAAGATGGACTCGGGTTTCTGGTATTGTGGAGCCGTTGGGAACAGTTGAAAAAGCCTAATTTCAGCAACTTCTTCAGATGGAAGCTTTCATTTATCACAACTTCCTCCAACTCCCAGGCTCTGCCTGTGCCAGCAGTAACAGCAAGGGTGCAAGGATCTCATGTCACTTTGCCAGCATTTAAGAGTTACAACAGCCCTCATGAGTTACAGGCTGTACTTGTGCATGTGAGAAAGCTGAAACACGGGGGAGTTCATTGTTTGAAGTTGTGTAGCAAACAATTGTCAGGTTTGGGAGCAGAGCTGTGCACAGGGTTGGTTTTCAAGCTTTTGCTTTCACCACTGAATATACGGTTTCCCGCTAGGTAGTTCCTCAGGCAATACTGTGAACTTGCCTAAAAGCTGGTTGGAAGTTTCCACCAAGGTTCTCAAGTGTCCCATCAGCTTTTCTCACTTTGTGGTGTCTCTCTGGTGATACTGTTTTACTCCCAGAATGAGGAATGGCTTTACATTTATTTTTCTCTTAAGTTGTTTTGCCTGAACTCCTCTTTCCCTCCCTCTGGCTGTTGCTTCTGGTTGGATCTAAGGTTCTGCTGAGCCCGAGTGATGGCATATTGCTCTGATGCTCTTCTGGAGCTGGGAGCCCCAAAAACTGCAGCCTGTTTTTATCAGCACGTGTGCATTCTGCTTTCCTATCTCTGCTCTTGCTGACAGCCCCTTTCATCATCAGCCCTGCACACAAACAAGGTTATCCCCAGTTCAGATCACATTAGTGTAGTTCTGCTTCCATTACTTTTCCCTGTGAGTCTGTTTTGTGGGAGTGTGTGTGTGAGGTGGGCATTGAACAATTTAAAAGCTCAAAGGAGTCTTTATTTCATTAAGGGAAGGGCCCAAGCCTGGGGATTCTTTAGCCCCAGTGGTTGTTTAAAGCCTGTTCCACATAACCAGAACACATCTATGGATGGTAGGAAAATCCATGGTTCTCCAGTGACATCTTGGTGCACAGAAGATGCTGAATTTTGTTAATTAAGTGCTGGTTTTCATCCGCACCTCTGGGAGGGAAGGGGATGCTCTGTAGTGTCTCAGAGGCCCGAGGAGTTAGGTGTGGGCATTTTCATCCCTTGCCAGGACAGTTCATGGTACAGCTACATCCATCTAATGGTTTGTGTAAGTAAAAGTCAGATTAGTCAGGGGCTCAGAAATATCTGAGAAAAGGCACTGTCAAAGCAGCATAACTGTGTCTGGTGTGTAGAGCTGGATGAACAATGAACTGCTGTTGAAAGAGTGAGTGAATCAGTGCAGGCAACTCTGTGGCAGGATAGGAGAGATCAATGTAGAAAATGGAAGCTGATAATATGAAAAAAAAACTTTATTTGATTTTTATATTTGGTGGAGGTAGAAGTCTTATGATGGTAAACCAAATAAAGGGAATTCAAATATTCTAAACTAGGGTTTGAGGAAGGTAAAAGGCCAAGCCCTTGATTTTAGGGGTTGTTCAGTGCTTGAATGGTTTTCCACACTTTCCTGAGGAGTCCCAGTGTTTTCCTACCTGGTTCATGACCTGAGTTTGGCTCTTGTGGTGTGTTGAAGGAGGAACCAGAGACAGAGCTGTGGTCTGTGCTGAGGCTGCAGCCCTGTCCTGGAGCTGCAGGAGAGCAGGGATGGCCCCATGGCACAGCTGAGACTCAGATCCTGCTTTACAGGAGGCTGCTGGAAGCTGTGATGGAAACTCTGTGGGCTCAGGAGCAGAGTCTGCCCTGTCACAGCAAAGGGAGGCAGCTCCAGCCTGCTTCTGTGTGTGGTGGAGTGTCTGGCACTGGGTGTGAGTCCCAGCAAACCCTGCCAGGGGGGAGCTCCTCTCCCAGACTCCCGTGTGCAGGCACGGTTTGACACACTCACCTGCTGCAGGATTCTTCCCAATCCCTTGAAGGGCAATTTGGGGGTTCCTTTTGCTGCCAGTCAGCACTCAAATGACTTGCCTGCAGTGTGGACCTGTTTTATCACCCTGTGACCCCAACCAAAATATCAAGACCAAGCCCAAAACCCTCTCAGAGCTCCCCGAAGTGCTGAGGGAGCTCAGAGCTGGTTCAGCTCTGCCCGGTGCACTGACTGTGTGCCAAAGCCATGTCAAACACGTGTGTACCTCCAAGTGCCGTGGTCTCCTCCCCAGCCAAACTCATGCCTGCAATGAAAGTGACTTCCTGCATCTCCCACGCAGCCCATCACCTGTGAGCTCTGCGCTGCTCATTTCCTATAAGCTGGAGGTATTTTGGTAGTCCTGGGGTTTTGTAATTTTACAATTTGTTTGTGGGTGTTGCTGCAGCTTCCGTATCTGTCTGATGCTGCAGCCTTGCAGAGGAACCCTGCTCCATGTCTGATCTTGCTGCTTTCTTTTTTGGTTTTTTTTTTTTTTTTGCCTTTTCCTCTCCAAAGCAGTTTCATGATGTAAACACCAGAGCTGCGGTTGATGAACTCCACAAGAGGAAATTGAAATTTGTCTTAGTAGGTTTTATGTTGGCTGCTGGCTTGTTAAATACTGTCTGGGTGGTTTTAGATGTGTCTCTTGCACCCTGACACTCTGCACAAATTCACCTTTCCTCAGATTCCTCACCTGTGTTCCTCCTGTTGCTGATGCTGTGCCTCTATTCTCTACATGACATCTGGTAAAACTGAGGTTTTATTTCTGTCCTAGTGCATGGACTCATCCCATGGGGACATCAGCTCTGCCTTGGCCAGCTCCCCTCTTTGCTGAAGATACACATTTATGACCTGCACACTAAATTCTGCAAGGGGAGAGCAGCCTGTAGCTTTCCTGCATAGTAAAGAATAATGAACTGAGGCACAGGGCACAGGGGAAGTTGTGGAGTCATCTGAAAAGTGAAATTTTGTCTCATGGTTATTTTCCTCCACCACTTTTACTGCCCAGTGATGAAGAGATCTGGGCTTTAAAAATTGACAATTATATTGGAGAATTTTTTTTTTGGAAGACTGCTGCAGTGGAAGCAGAGAGTATATCTCAGATTACTCCAGTAGTGTAAACCCTGCCGAAAAGGAGTGATGCTGCTGCTCACAAATGGCAGCACGACCCAGAGAAAAGGGAATTGTAATTGTGTACACGAGGTCAAGACAGTGCAAACAAGGTTGGAGAACTCTGTTCAGCTTCCCAAGGCAAAGGGGAAGAGGGAAGTCAGGCGGTGCAGGAACACCCATCTGTGCAGAGCTGGCCTCATGGAAGAACTGTCACATCACACCTGAGCTCCAGCAAGTAGGACATTCTGAATTTAGCAATGGCAAGGGGAGAGAGACTTGGTAAAAGATGTATTAGAAACCATGAAAGTCCAGAGTTATTCTTCCTTTGGTATATTCACACCAGGAAAAGATCCTGCATCCTCTAAATGAGGGAGTTTGGAAAGACAAGGTGCTGAGCTTGAGCTGACACTGTACTGCTCATGGCTCGGGCAGGCACTTCATATTCTCTGGGATGTGGAGCCAGACAGAAATCCTCAGCAGGAGGAAGCAGCTCAGCCTTGGCTGTGTCTCTGTCTGCTGGTCACTAGAGCTGTGGTAGTTTGCTGATTCAGGCTGAGGTAGCAGATTCACCCGAAACCTGCTGTTTTTAGTGTTGATGGGCAGAGAACAAGGCCAGCTTGTTTTGCTTTATTCAGCCTGGTGAGCCTTGCCTCCTCCCGCTCTGCTGCCCTCCCTGCAGGGCCCGGCGTGGTTTGTGGTGGTGCAGCTGAGGAAGCAGGACAGATAAAGCACAGCTCGTGTTTCTGGGAATCCTGACCTCACTGCTGACAGGGAAGTGGTGTGCTCCCAGGAGCTGGCAGATAAGATGCTGGGCTCCTTGTGCTTGCTGGAGCCCAGGGCTGGCTCCTGAGGAGCTGCCAGCAGCACTCTGTGGTTTGAGAATCAGCTGCACTTTGCTCAGCTTCTTTCAAAGCCTCTGCACCCACGGCTGCAAAGCTGCCTTTCAAGTTGTGAATGGGGAAATGCTGTGCTGCTTTCATGGGCTGAGGAGAAGGGACACAGACTGGCTCAGGGCTGAGCCCCTTCCAGGCTGTTCCATGGGGATGTTCCTCTGCTGACCTGGCAGAAAAACTGGTGAGAGGGACTTGGGGTGGGCTGGTTTCTCTGCTGGGGTGCTTGCAGAGAATTAGAGCCACTTCCCTGTGTCCTGCTGGGAGCCAGTGCCAGCAGTTCCAGAGTCCCCAGCACGTGGGGACACCACGCTCTGCCACTTGTCATCCAGAGGTTTTATTGCTGTAGCATTTTGCTTGTGGGCAATGGATGGAGGCTTTGTTACAGGTCTTTGAGAAAGGAAATGTCTGACAGGCTGCTGGTGAATGCCTTTTGTTTCATCCTGCGTTTGGAACCAGCAGTTTGTACCTGACAGCATTCAGATTCTTGTTCTCTTTGCATTCCTTGGATGTACTGGAAATAAATTGTAGCATCCTGCCAAGGGACAGGCTGTAGGTGGAATTAACAAACTTATTCTGATTGCCTCACCCATCAACTTCATTTTTCTATACTTGTAGAGAGGGGATGTACAGCAGAGTATTATTTGTTTGTCTGTATGAAAATGCATGCATACTTGGAACCAGCAACAGCTCTTTCTCCCTCTTGCAGACTGGAACTGAGCTCTGGAAAAACAAAGTGGAGCTTGGAGCATGTGGCCTGAGGATTGCCTTGCACAGCCAGGGGTAGGAACTGACTGTTTCTCTTGGCTGCTTGGTCAGGGATGAGCTATTGGGACAATGCCTTTGTTCTCCAGGGTAGATAATTCTCTTATTTCTTTGTCAAATGCAGGTGTAGATGTTAATCCTGGCCTAGAAGGGATTAAGAGAGGGTTGCATTGAAATACAAACAAATGTTGTAGTTACATGTGGCTCAAAGGCACTGGAGTGGAATTTTTACTAATGCACTAACTTTTCCTGAGTTTTAAGGCTGTGCTGACCTTCCTTTCTTTGGGTTCTTTTGCACATTAATTTTCCACAGAGCCCAGCACAGAACTGAGCAAATAATACATAGTCAACAGCACCAGGTTGTTTTCCCTTTTCTTGCAGGTGGTAGCCAAGCAGTGAGCAGGATGCCCCCAGGCATTTACTGCCCTACGGAATTCTGGTCCAAGGGGGAAAACCAAAACATCCAGGTGGACTTTTTGCTGCCCACAGGCATATACTTGAACCTCTCAGTGCCCTGCAATGCCAGCCTGGGCACCATCAAGCAGGTAACAGCCTTCCACCAGCTTTGGTGACAGTCTGGGTTAGGCCCGTCTGCTGCAGAGCTCTGCCTCCAGCAGCAGGCACTTAGGATGAGAGTCAAAAAAGGGATCTGAAGTCATGTGAGAGTGCTATCCACAGGGAGAGAAGCATCCTTGGGAACTGGATAGTGTTGACAAGACTTGAGAAGCTCTTGGCTCCTGTCCTTGGCACCCTGACAGATTTCATGTTACTGGGGGCAAGTTACTTAACCCAGTTTTGCTTCCAGTGTGAGTAATTGCTGTGTTTCACAGGACCAGAGTCAGCAGGTGCTTGCTGTGAGGTGTTCAGGTGGGGGTTATTTAAATGCTCAGGCTGAGGGATTGACATTGCCCAAAACAAAAGGCAGCATGGAGAAAGGAAGCGAGTTAAAGGGTGACAGCAGCACGGTGAGGAGGGTCACAGTGTGCAAGGTGACAGAGGGAGGGTAAGAGGGTAACAGTGGCAGGGTGACGGTGTGCAAGGTGACAGCAGCAGGGTGACAACAGCACAGTGAGGTGTGCAGGGTGACAGCAGCAGGGTGACAGCACAGCGACAGTAGGGTGACAGCAGCACAGTGAGGTGTGCAGGGTGACAGCACAGTAACAGCAGCGGGTGCAGTGACAGCAGGTGACAGTGACAGCAGGGTGACAGCAGCGGGTGCAGTGGCAGCAGGTGACAGTGGCAGCAGCAGGTGCAGTGACAGCACAGTGACAGCAGTGGGTGCAGCGGCAGCTATTGGAGAATGCAGGTGCAGTGACAGCAGGGTGACAGCACAGTGACAGTAGGGTGACAGCAGCACAGTGAGGTGTGCAGGGTGACAGCACAGTCGCGAGGGCGACCGGGCCAAGAAGCTCATCAACTCCCAGATCAGCCTGCTCATCGGCAGAGGTCAGCTCGCCCCAGGGCCACGGGGCTGCTGCCTCCGGGTGGCTCTGGGTGGCTCCGGGTGGCTCTGGGTGGCTCTGGGTTGCTCTGGGAATTCTGGGTGGCTCTGGGTGGCTCTGAGTGGTTCCAGATGGCTCTGGGTGGCTCTGGGAGCTCTGGGTGGTTCCGGGTGGCTCTGGGTTGCTCTGGGAGTTCTGGGTGGCTCTGGATGGTTCCAAGTGGCTCTGGGAGCTCTGTGTGGCTGCGGGTGGCTCTGGGTGGCTCTGGGTGGCTCTGGGAGCTCTGTGTGGCTCTGGATAGCTCTGGATGGCTCCAGGTGGCTCTGGGTGTCACACAGCCCATCCCAACAGCCTCGCTGCCTGCAGGGCTGTGCTGGGACACTGGGGCAGCCGCAGGATCTGTCTGCAGGGGATGCAGAAGGGGGACACTGTGCAGGGCCAGGGCAGGTGGTGCTGCCTGCTGGCACCACTGTGGGGACAGTGCCACTGCACATTGTCCATCCATCCATTGCTGGCAGCCTGGCTGACCCTGCTTTGGCCGCGTGTTAAACACGTGCCCAGGGAGACCTTCACAGACACTTGAGGAAAAGGCTCATTTCCCCCACTGCCTGCAGACGCTCATTTCGCCTTCCCCTCTTGCTTTGCCCCCAGGTTTGCACGAGTTTGACTCCGTGCAGGACCCCGAGGTGAGCGAGTTCCGTGCCAAGATGTGCCAGTTCTGCGAGGAGAAGGCGGCCAGGCGGCAGCAGCTGGGCTGGGCAGCCTGGATGGAGTACAACTTCCCCCTGCAGCTGGAGCCTGTGGCCAAGGGTCTCAGCTCTCTGCAAATCCCCACCCAGAACATTTTTGTCAACATCAGGTTCCAGTCTGGCGGGGTAAAGCACAAAACTTTTCTGTTGCGGTGTTTGATGGTTTGTGCTTTTCCTTTGGAAAGCTCTGTGTGTGTGGAGACAGAGTAATGTGTGCCTGGACAGTGTTTCCATGTGCTCAGTGTTCATTCTCCAGGCTGGAGATGGCTGGGAGGGAGCTGCTCTCCCTCTGCACTGGCTGTACTGGTTAGCTGGGAGCTGAGATTGCTGCCTGACCTTTTTGGGTTTGGGTAGGAAAGGAGCAGAGAATCCAGAGCCTGGCTTTCCTCTGGAAGCTCAGGAGCCTGCTCAGCACACACAGCTTGCAGGCACTGCTCTGTGCTGCCCATGGGCCCCTGTTCCTGCCTGGGCTCACGTTCTGCCTGTTGTGCCTGGGCATGGAGCAGGGTCACCCTCGCAGGAGAGCAGCCTTCAGAGCAGTGAGTTGGAGCGTGGGGACCCTCCCAGCCTCTGCCCTGCTGCTGGAATGACTGTGGGAAGGTTTTGAATGGCTGGCAGCCACAGGAACTGGTGATTCTGCTGAAAATTGAAGTTCCTGATTTCCAGCCTTGTGCTTATACTGCTGAAACTTGCTCCTGCACAGTCTGGCAGGAGCAATATCCCTTCTTATCCTAGGCTGATGTGTGTGATTTACCTTCCCATGCTGCTCCTCACTGCCAGAGCAGGAGTGTTCCCTGTGCTGGTGCCTGACAGTTTGCTGTGCTGTTGGGATTGCAGGAGAGCTTCATGTTCCAGATCTCCCCCTGGGACTTCCCCATCACCCTGATGAGCTATGCTGTTAAGAAACATGCCACCGTGTTCCGCCACGAGACCGTGCACAGGCCAGAGGACTACACCCTGCAGGTGAATGGGAAATGTGAATATCTCTATGGGAACTACCCCCTGCACCAGTTCCAGGTGAGCCTCGTGTCTTGCTTTATCAGTGGCTGTTCCCACATGGCCTTCTCTTGTGGGGGCGTGGGTTGGCACGTGTTGTGAAGGAGAGAGTGCTGTTTGCAGGAGTGCAGCACAAACTGACAGCACCTGCATGTTACCTAGGACACAGGGTGCTTCCAGCAACCTAACCCATCTTTATTTTTGGGGGGCCAATGGTCTAAGCCTGTCCCTGGCTGCCAAGTGCTGTGTAAATGCATTTACAGACTGTGGTTCTGGAAATATCTGCTGGCTTGTATGGTGGGGTGAGGGTTCTCCCATTGAAAGCTGGGCAAGTAATCCTGAATCATGTGCTGCTCTGGCAGGGCAGACTGCTGCTGGGAGTGCTGAATCCTCCTCAGTGTTTTCCCTTGATGCAGCCATTTGAGCCCATTGATGAAATGCCAGCTATAAAAGGCACTTCATATTCTCAGCTCTGGCAGCATGAGGCCAGCGAGTTGCAGGTTTATAAAGCAGGAGGAGATAATTGGGAGCTGGAATTGGATCGTGGCTGTGTCCTTGCCTGGGTCCCTGCAGGGCTGGTGGCTCTGAGGGTGGCCTGGCTGACCCTGTCCCCTCTCAGCACATCCGCAGCTGCCTGCAGCGGGGCCTGACCCCCCACCTGACCATGGTGCACTCCTCTGCCATCATTGCCATGAGGGACGAGCAGAGCAACTGCATCACCAGCCCCCCAAAGGCGGCCTGCAAGCCCCCCCCGCTCCCCAAGAAAAAGGTAAAAGGGGACAGGGACCCCAGGGCTCACCCTGGGCTCCTCTGCTGGTGGATGGGCTGGGCTGGGCTGGGAACAGCAGTGGGAGCTCCCTGCCCTTCTCAGGGCATGTTCCCAGCTGGGGAACAGGGTGGGAATTTCCAGCCAGCCTTCCAGCCCCCTCCACAGCTTCCCTGGTTGTCCCAGGCTTCTTGCTCTTTTCTGTGGGGCCCAAAAGCATGGAATGGGAGATGAGTTCTGGTGCTGACTTGAGAGGCCTTTGTTGCATCTGTTTCTGATCAGAGCCCTTTTCTCTTTCCAGCCAAACTATGGCTCTCTCTGGTCCTTTGAGCAGCCTTTCTACATCGAGCTGGTGCAGGGCAGCAAGGTCAATGCAGACGAGAGAATGAAGGTGGGCCCTGACTCACTCTGGGGTTTGTACCTGTGCCTTCCCAGTCTCACCCCCTGCTCTGTGTGGGAGTGCAGTGGTGGCTGGCAGTGTGATCCCACCTGCTCCTGTGGGGCTCCTTCAGCCCTTGGGCAGTCCCTGACCTGCAGCACGAGGGATGGGGAGGGAGGTGGGCAGGCAGCAGCCCAGCCTTGGGAAAGCTGCTGCACAGCAAACAGCTGCTGCCCTGAGGTGCTGGCACTGGGCAGGGCAAACCCAGCTCTGGGAGGAGTGATGGGAGAGGTGGTGGTGGCCAGGGGAAGGCAGGAGGCAGCAGAGGCCTGGGATGTGTGGGGTGTTTGCCATGAAGGGGAAAATGAGGAGAAGGGGAACAGCTGCCCTTTGGGAAAGGCAGGAAACTGGGCAAGAACGTGCCACATTAACCAATATGCAAGTCTGCATGAAGTGAGAAGATAACAGTGCCCTCACTGAAGCTGAGTAAAGAAAGGGGTTTCAGAACTGAGTGTCTGAGTTGGGAAAGAGGCAGGAGAAGAGTCCCTGTGCAGGGCAGGGCTGCCTGTCCCACTCCCCTTGGGCACACCGGGCAAATCAATGCCCGTGGCTCACCGTGCTGCCCCTGCTCTGCGCAGCTGGTGGTGCAGGCAGGGCTGTTCCACGGCGCTGAGATGCTGTGCAAGACCGTGTCGAGCTCGGAGGTGAGCGTGTGCTCGGAGCCCGTGTGGCGGCAGCGCCTGGACTTCGACATCAGCGTCTGCGACCTGCCGCGCATGGCCCGCCTCTGCCTCGCGCTCTACGCCGTCATCGAGAAGGCCAAGAAGGCTCGCTCCACCAAGAAGAAGTCCAAGAAAGCTGTAAGTGAAGCCAGCCCGGGGCTGCAGGGCACGGTCCTGAGCCAATGCCCTTGGCACTCGGAAAGCTTCAGGGTAATAAAACGGCTCGCGGGGCCACGGACAGTAACGCCTTCAGCAGGAGCAGGAAGCTGGGAAGTGGCTGCCATAAGAAAGGCTGTTTTTATGTAATTTCTTCTCTAGAAAGGTCATTGAGAAACATACCCAGCTGGGCCTAAAGGGGAATCACTTATCTCGGTGTCCCTGTTTCGCTCTTCTGCAACTTCCTTGTTTTGTAGTTGAGGTTAAACCATCATCGCCGTTGCATTTTCTTTCTAACAAGGTCCTTCCTGCAAATCCCCAGTGGAGCAAA